ACAAGTAGATAGAATAGAAAAAATAGAAAGCTAGTGTTTGTTTTTTGTTGTTTTTTTTTTTAAATAAAGAATTAAAAAAAAGATAAATATAAAGTAGAATTAAAATAGAATAGAAAGTGTTAGAGCTAGAGGGTCAAATAAAGGTGGAACAGATGTGTTTTTAGTCGTTTCTTGAAGATGGTTATTATGGTTAATATAATATAATGTAATGTAAAAAAAGGTTGTATGGCTCTAATAAAATGCCTAAAATAGGCGTAGCAGCCCAGAAAGTTAGTCAGGTACATTAATTCTCCTATTTTAACTCTTCTCTGGGTATTTTTAATTAGATGTCTATTAAAGTCCCACAGTGTTATTATTCAGATGTGAAATCAGCAATTCCAAACCAACCTATTGTGGTTGGTCCGTTCTGAACAGCGCTGAGAAAAGTAACATGTACAGCGCTGTTCAGAACGGACCAATCACAGTCGTTCGTGATTGCTGGGAAAGTATACCTAAACAATCGTTTAATGGCCATTGCATTCTCATTTGTATTTCACTTACCAGTTCGGGTTTTTTTTATTCTTTGTTAAATTTGAACGATTATACTTTAAAGTGTGCAAATCTCTGCAGTAAAAAAAAACAAAAAAAAAAAACGTGAAATTTGAATGAGGATCAATGGGAAATCAGCTTTCTGTGCCTTTCTGTTTCTGTGACAGGTGTCCTCTGGAGGAGAAAAAACAAACAAAACTATTTGTGTATCAAAGCAACGATTATTAGGGATACAAAAATATAATTTTTCAAATAATTAAATAACGTACTTTTGATTCAAAATATTGTTAATGAAATTATTTTTATAAAGCTGTCATTTTATAAAATAAAAAATTTTATAAATCAAAAATAGTATTCATATTACTCGTATTAATATCATTATTTATAATTATAGATTTAATAATTATTTATATTATATTAAACATAAAAAAGATACAAAAAAATTGAAGAATTATATTATAAAAAATAATTACATTACATTAAAAACATCAAAAATACATGAATGCATTTTTTATTCAAAATATTAATGAAAATATATATTTAAAAACTAATATAAAAAAACTACATTCATATTAATAACATTATTTGTAATTATATATTTAATAATTTGTTTATATTACATTGCAAATATAAAAAAATAAAGATCTGTAATATAAAAATGTGATATTACAAAACTGAATTACATTATAAACCAAAATAATTACACTGTAAACTTAATTATTCATATTAAAAGTGATTAAAGTCATTGATACGCAAGAAAATTAATAAAATATGAAATCATTGTATCAAATGTAAAATTATTTGATAATGTCAAATCAATGGATTTCTCTCTTAATAAGATTAACTACATTTTAAAAAGCGCCAAACATGGAGTCCTTTCCATATTCCTCAGTTTTATTTTAATAACATCAGCACATAGTCGTTGTACAGTGAGGATTACAGAAACCCCGGCCACCTCTGCATCATCATTCACCTTAACATACAAAACACACGTTTAATATCACATACATGAAGAGGAGGGACGAGACACGAGCAGATTTCCAGTACGTCAAAGGCTTTCCGAATCATATATTCCACAAGTGATTTCAGAAGTATAAATACAATTCCAGGCTTATTTATCATTTATTATTTCATTACTTTATATCTGTTTAAAATCACTCTGAGAGACCAGACCGCCACGCGCCCCATCAGATACGTGTGTGTGTGTGTGTTTACGCTTTACAGATGTGTGTGTGATGAGAGAGACAGTAAGAGAGAGAGAGAGAGACGTGGGTAGGAGGTGTTTTACAGTCGAGCTTGAATTGAGCAGCGCTGTGCCCTCGTGTATGTTTTCCTGTTTTAATACTGCCGTTCTGTGAGAAAGCAAATCTTTACGCCGCCGCTTGCGTCTCGTCTTAGTCCACGTACATGGGGGAGCTGGGAGACGTGGGCATCTGATCCAGGATCCTGCAGACGTAGCTGGCCACGTCTACCGTACGCTCCTCGTACATCTGAATGAAGGGATGTTTCTGAGAGACAGAGAGAGGAGACGTTTGCTTTACTTTACTGCATTTCTTAAAGGGGTCATATGATGCTGCTAAAAATAACATTATTTTGTGTATTTGGTATAATGAAATGTGTTTATGCGGTTTAAAGTTAAAAAAACACATTATTTTCCACATACTGTACATTATTGTTTCTCCTCTATGCCCCGCCTTTTTGAAACGC